TGTGAAGACAAAAAAATATTTCCCTTCATTTTGTCATGACAGGAATGGTGCTGAAAAGGTGGAAAAGAGCAAGATGTAATTATCTTGCCCAATGTTACACTCCAGTTTCTATGTTTTTTTGTGACTAACCATCATACAATCCTCCAGTTCACCCCAAAAATTAAGTCATCGTAACAACTAAAAGGAATACCTGGTTTTCCTTTTTATGGACTCCTGCATCTGTGCACAGGAATACTATTCTCAAAAATCCAGGGGCATTAAACAACTTTTCCAATTAATTTCAAAACAAAACCCAAAGAAAGAGAATGAATAAAAGGACTAAGAAAACGAACTGCTCTGCCTTGACCCAACATGACACAGTGAGTCCCAACAAGTAGACTGTAACAGCAGCTACCCCTAAGAGCCAATCCACTGGTGAGCTCCCATTCCCAGTGACAACCTGCAGCAATGACACCATTGCAACCACAACATCCCCCTGTATACACAATGCTGCCTGGCCCCACTGCCAGCCCACAGCTGGGCAAGGACAGGCAGCAATGGACACAACTTGTATGGCACATCATCCTGTGGGGAGCAACAGGTGCAGAGCCAACAACCTGCAGTCCTGGATCCAGACCTAACTTCAGAACCTCTCAGCTGCTGCTGCTGCTGTTCCAGAGGTGGTGGAGGACAGCCACGCTTTCAGAGAGTGGATCTGAGCACACTTCCTCCTCACAGGGCATAACAAGGCTCTGCCTGCAACCCAGTGACCCAGAGTCATGGCTACATGTTCCAGCAGTGAACTAAATTGCAGTTTCTCCAGGTTTCTGCTGTGGGGTGGAGGGAGTAGGYATCTCATAGGACTGATCTGTGCCACCTCACAGCAGGAGTCAGGGCAGAGTTTTCTCTGCAGCTCCCTTGCTCTATTGCTTGACATCACTGGCTATACACAGAGGAGAAAGGGTGKTGGTGAGAGCGAGGACAGAGCATCCAAGCCAAGGGATATTTTTTCAGGCGGCTTTGGGCCAGGAACTGCTTGACCTGGAGTACGCACACTGTGCCCTGTGAAACTGGCCCCAGCTCTCAATCCAAAGTGCTGCCACAGACCCAAGGGTAATCTCAAAGACCTCTCTTGTCAGCCCCCGGTAACTAACGCTGCCGGGACCCACCCGGGCAGCAATCGGCATTGTTTCCAYACTGCTCAGGGCCAGCCCATTGTTTGCATTCACCAGTGTGTCAGGGGGCCCAGGGTTAGTGGGTTAACAGCTCTGTAACGTCATGGTGCTCTCGGGGCGGGGAACACGGGCTGCAGCCAGCATTTGGGTGTAGCTCTGTGCTGGCTCAAGCTCTGACCCTTCCACCCTGTCCAGCCAGCCCGCCCCGGGGCCGCTGCACGCTCCTCCCATGAGCCGTACAATCCCCTACCAGGCAAGAATCCGACCWAAGAATGCAAAGTTTGAGCTTCTGCAGTTTAGGCAAGAAAATGTTCTTTAAAAAAATGCAGAAAAGCGTTTATAGGATCCTGGCAATATCAGCAAAGCATGAGAGAGGCTGCAAGCTGAGACTGCATGCTGGCATCCCCCAGCTTTTAATGTATATAATAGCACAGATTTCTCAAAGGACACTTCGCACTTTGTTTGGCTTTGGCAACCATCAAGTTAATAGCAACACTGGCTCCAAAAAAATAAAATTCTAACCAAACASTGACTTTTGGCAGGGAAGAAAAACCCTGAGAGTCTGCATCATTTGGAGTGTGCACTGTTTAGTACTAATGCAAAATTTATTGCTCTGGCAAAACCTAAACATAAGCAGCTGCTGCCTCCTCCTCACACTCCTCTGCATCTCCAAGGATCTCGTGTCAGCTGTGCCAGTGGTGGGGTCGGAGCAGCGAGTCCCCCCGGGGCCGAGGAGCCGAGGCCAGGGCTCCTCCTCGGGCTGGTCCCGGCGGGGGCCGGCAGGGCAGCTGCCACACATCACTGACAGATTGCCTTTGGCTGGCTCCTACTAGAGACACCAGCSACACGAGAGCCTCTYGGGAGGAAAGTGCAGCCAGCTGGGGATGAGGTAGGAGTGGAGGGGGAGAGCGTGAGCAGGAAAACCACAAAGACACTTGTGCCTGCTAAAAATGATTCCCACCTASTAATTTTAGCAGCTGTTGTGTTCTTCTGCCTACCTTCCTGGATGAATTTTAAGTAGGAGGTGAGTGAAAATGAGAATGGTGACAAAACTTCACCTCCCGCCCCCCAACCTCTGTATCTGCACATTTTTAATTTCCACTTGATCCCACCTTAAAGAAACAATCAGTTATTTTCCTTAGTTAAGTGGGTTTTGTCCTGGCTGGTAGAAAGGAACAAGAAATCACAGTAATGTTTCTCAAGGGTAGTTAAAAATATCGGCCTGTCAGGGAAGGATAGAGTAACACAATACCTGTGGTCCACCTCTGCACCCCTCAGACCTCCAGGGCCAAGATAGGGTTGTGAAAAGAAATGTGGCTTCCTAATAAATAAGAAATGTCATTAAGCCACCTGGTGAGGAAGGGTTTCTCTCCAGCATGTGTCCATGGCAGGGTGCGTCCCAGCAATGCCCTGCCGCTGTTTGGAGGTGGCCCCAAGGAGCAGCAGCACAGGGAGATAGATCACTGTGCCTGTCCCCTCACCCTAAACCTGCTCACTCACAGGTGCAGTTGCTGAGTTTGGAGACRATGGGGGAGGACACCTGGAGAAACCATCTTGGAGTCCTGTGGTTAAGCTGGTGTTTTGCTGGAGCACTTACATGTGAAAACACTCACAGCAACGGCTGCTGCAAGGGAGCTGACAATTACACACAACCTGTGTTTTAATCCTAAAAAAAAAAAAAA